CCGCAGAGGACGTCTTCCCCTGCAAGGACTGCGGGATCTGGTACCGCAGCGAGCGCAACCTGCAAGCCCACCTCATGTACTACTGCGCCAGCCGGCAGAGCTCCGCCTCGCCCGCCACCGACGAGAAGCCCAAGGAGACCTACCCCAACGAGCGCGTCTGCCCCTTCCCCCAGTGCAAGAAGAGCTGCCCCAGCGCCAGCTCCCTGGAGATCCACATGCGCAGCCACAGCGGTACGGGGCAGGGGGTGGCGATGCCAAGATGCAGCTTCTGGTGCATTTTCCCCATCTGCTCCAGTCCTCCCCCATGCCAGGACCCTGTGCCTACCTCTCTGGTGCCAGGGTGGCTGGATCTATTGCATGTGGCTGCTTTAGGGACTCGCATGTCTTAGCCACGCAAGGCCCAGGGAAGCCTTCAACCTTAGCCCCCAGGCCTGAACACAGAGGGCAGGTGCAGCACATGCTGTGCCCTGTCGTCACTCGTCCGTGTGCCTGTCTTGCAGGAGAGAGGCCGTTTGTGTGCCTGATCTGCCTGTCTGCCTTCACCACCAAGGCCAACTGCGAGCGGCACCTCAAGGTGCACACAGACACGCTGAATGGTGGGTGTGTGGATGGGGGGGGGCGGAGGGAGCCCAGCTGGGTGGGAGCAGGGGGTCTCCCATTCACACCCAGCTGGCCCTTCAGTCCCAAGCCGGGTCCCTGCCTGCGGAGCGGAGCGGGCAGGACGCCAGTGCCGGCGCGCGCCCCTTGACGTCTCCTTTCCAGCTCTCCCTCTCGCTGCCCCTTGCCAGGCGTGTGCCACAGCTGCGGCTTCATCTCCACCACGCGAGACATCCTCTACAGCCACCTCGTCACCAACCACATGATCTGCCAGCCGGGCTCCAAGGGCGAGGTGTATTCCCCTGGGCCGGGGCTCCCTGCCGCCAAGCCCCTCGCACCTGGTGAGTTGCCCATGGCTCTAGCGGTCCCTGGCAGAGGAAGGCTCAGTGGCCTTGACCCCTGTTGCAAGAAGGCAGCAGCTGCCCTGGGGGGGGGGCGTGCATCGCGCACCTTAATGCCTGATGCTCCGCATGGGGGTGGGTGGGATCCTGCATGCAGCTGCTCCAGTGCTGGGGCACAGAGAGGCCCGGAGGAGGCTGCTGCGGTGGATCTCCAGACTGTACGGACCCCAGGCAGGCAGCGTGGGACAGGAGGGGGGTCCTCTGCATCACTAACCCCATACCCTCTACCCACAGGTCTGAGCCAGCCGGGCACCACCCCAACTCTGAAGTGCAGCCTATGTGGGTTTGTGGCAGACGGCCTGGTTGGGCTGCAGCAGCACGTGGCGCGGCACGGCCCGCTGCCCGCCGGTCTGGGGGGCGCCGAGCCCAGAGCCGCCCAGCCCCTGCCGTGCCCGGATTCCCCAGCCCACGCCCCGGCCGACGAGATGCCCAACGGCGAGGCCAGGACTCCCCATGGGGAGGGCACCTCTTCCTCCTCCTCCTGCTCCTCGACTTCGAGCGAAGCTGTGCCCCCCATCAGGGTCAAGGAGGAGCCACCGGACAGCCCCGCGGGCGAGACCGAGGGCGCCAAGGGGGATGCCAGCCCGGGGATGGATCCAGATACCTCGTCCCGGGCATCTTCCCCACGCAGCCTGCCCTCGACCAAGGTGAAGTCGGAGCTGGCCAGCCCCACTCCCGGGTCCAGCCCGGTGCCCAGCGACCCGGCAGCGGGTGGCACGGTCTTCCTGCCCCAGTACGTCTTTGGCCACGAGGCAGCCGTGGTGCCGCAGGCCTCGGAGATCCTGGCCAAGATGTCGGAGCTGGTGCACAGCCGGCTGAAGCAGGGGCAGGGTGCGGCAGGACCGGCCGGCCTCTTCCCCGGCGCGCCGGTGCCCAAAGGCGCCACCTGCTTCGAGTGCGAGATCACCTTCAACAACATCAACAACTACTACGTGCACAAGCGCCTCTACTGCTCCAGCCGCCACCTGTCCGAGGACAGCCCCCCCGGTGCCCGCAAGCCCAAGGCCCCACCGCCGCCTGCCCCCAAGGGCCCTGCCCTGCTCTCGCCCCCGCCACCCGACAGCCTGCCCCTGCCCGCACCCGAGGGAGAGGCCGAGCGGGGCGTCACACCACCCGTGCCCGCCCCAGAGGCCAAGGTGGAGGAAGGGAGCGGTGGCAGTGCCAAAGCCGGGGGCTCGCCCGAGGCGGACGGGGCCGGGCGGGCGAGCGAGGGCAGCCCGAGCCCCAGCAGCTCAGTGGACGAGGCGGAGGAGGACCCCAGCCGGACGCTGTGCGAGGCGTGCAACATCCGCTTCAGCCGCCACGAGACCTACGTGGTGCACAAGCGCTTCTACTGCGCCTCGCGCCACGACCCCCCGCTGCGCCGGCCCAGCACTGCCAAGGGGCCCTTCCTGCCCCAGCCCGTCCGCACCCGCAAGCGCCGCAAGCTCTACGAGATCCACGGTGCCCCCAGCCCTGCCCACAGCCTGCCCGAGCTGCCCCCCGCCGAGCCCCCGGCCGGGGCCGCACTGCCGCCCGCTCTCCTTGCTGCCAAGGCACCGTCGCCCAGCTCCAGCCCAGACGCCGAGGGCCCCATCGACCTGAGCAAGAAGCCACGGCGGCAGGGCGAGATGCTGCCCGCCTCGCTGCTGCCCCTGGCCGACTACCACGAGTGCACGGCATGCCGCATCAGCTTCCACAGCCTGGACGGCTACCTGGCGCACAAGAAGTACTACTGCCCTGCCACGCCGCTGCAAGCCGGGGCCCTGGAGCAGCTGCAGAAGATGAAGGGCGGGGCACCAGCCCTGCTCAAAGCCCGGAGCAGCCCTGACCTGCCGCCCGAGGAGCCCGAGGGCGTGCGCGTCAAGCTGGAGAAGGCTGCGCCGAGCCCCGGCGCCAAGCCCCTGGCCCTGCCGGCCGCCTACCCCGGCTTGGACTCGCTGCAACGCTACGCCAGTACCAAGGCCGTGCCCCTGCCCGGTGCCAAGGGGCCCCTGTCCGTCTGCCCCTACTGCCCGCTCAATGGGGCCGTCAAGGGGGACCTCATCGAGCACTTCCGCAGCGCCCACGGGCTCTTCGTGGCCCTGTCAGTGGCCGGCCATGGGCCACCCGAGGCTGCACTGCAAGCAGGAGCCAGGACACTGGGGGGCTGCACCCCGGACGCTGGCTTGCCCCCGCCACTGCCCGCTGGCTCCCCGCCGCAGCCCCCTGCCCGGCTGCGCAAGGACAGCTTCAACGGCAAGGAGCCGGCGGCCTCCGCCAACGGCAGCCCGCTGCCCGCCGGCTCGCCCTCCGCCCCCCTGACCCTCTCGCCAGTGCCTGAAGCCCTGAGGGACGCCGGCCTGCAGCCCCCCACGCCGCCAGGGTACACGGACAAGAGCGTGCAGACGCCCCCCGCCAAGGCCCTGCCCGGCCCGGTGCCCAACGGCAACCACCGGTACTGCCGCCTCTGCAACATCAAGTTCAGCAGCCTCTCCACCTTCATCGCCCACAAGAAGTATTACTGCTCCTCCCACGCCGCCGAGCACGTCAAGTAGAGCCACGGGGCTGCCCCGTTCCCCACCTGCCTGTTGGGATGCCCTCAGCATGGGCCCAGCCCCTCGCCCCTGTGCCCACTGCAGCCACGGGGTCTCCAAGGCCCCGTGGGCACACAGGACTCCCCCCAAGCCCTGCCCACCCCACCCCCCCAACATAAAGGGGGGTTGCAGCTGGAGAGGGCGATTGCACTACACGGGTGCAAGCCAAGCAGCTCAGAGGGACACGCATACACGTGCACGTGTGGCTTGCACCAGGGGGTGTCCATGGGGTTCCTGAAATGTGTGCATGTGTCCGTCTCTCCCCCCCTGATCCCACCAAGCTGGTGCTGGGGGTGGGGGTTGTGTAGAGCCGCTACGGACTGGACTGAGAAACGTGAGAGCACTGAGGCCGCGCGCGCTGCCCGCCCGTGGGACCGCGTGTATCAGCGTGTACATAAATAAATGCGTCTCCGAGCGCTGTGCCTCACTGTGTCCCTGTGCCACGCCGTTGCAGGGGAGGGGGACTGGGACCCCCCCCACCCCGGGCTACTCACGTTCCTGACTCCAGACAGCAGCATGGAGCCGGCCTGAATGCAGCTGGAGGTGCCCGTGCCGGAGGGATGCCCTGGCAATGCGGCGCGTGGTTCTCACGAGACAGCCCGTGGCTCTGGGGCAGGGGTGTGCTGCCCACCCTGAGCTGGGGGGAAATCACCCCATCCACGGGGCAGCACTCTCCATGCCCCCGGCCCAGCCGCGCTGTGCTAGGCATGCCAGGAAGCTGCCCCCCATCAGTCCCATACAGGCAGACGGGTGCCAGAGGTTGCAGCAGGTGTCTGGGGTCTGTGCCTGCTTGGCGTGGCCATCCCTGCACCCTGGGCTGGACGGTCACAGCCTGGGGGTGCCCTGCTCTCTGCCCCCCCTGACTGGCATGGGCACTCCCTGGCACAACCCCTATGGCTGCATCTCCTCCTGGCCACGGTCTGCCACGGTGATGAAGGGGAGGCCAGACTCCAGGGTGGGGGCTCTTGCTATCTGCCCCCTCCAGAGCCTGAGGGAGAGGGGTGCGAACGGAGCCCCAGGGCAGGGGGGACCAGAGAGATGCCGGTTCGAGTCCCTGCTGGGACCTGGTAAGTGCCCTGACTGCCTGGCGGTGGGCTCCTCTGGGCTCTTGTATGCGGGATGGGACGTTCCCTCTGCCTGCGACTGCAAGGAGGGATTTCCTACTGGGGCCAAAGAGCCTCTGGCAGGGAGCAGCCCCCAGCCTGGCCTGTTCCAGCTTAGACGGAGCAGAAAAGCAGCCCTGCAGTAGGAGCCCCTTCGGCCCCTGCCAAGCACCACATAGGCCTCCCCAGGGGATCTAGCTGGGGGGAACTGATGTTAGCAGAACCTGGACACAAGTGCATGATGTTAGCCGAGAGTTGGGGGGAAACTGAGGCAGCAGCTGGGCCCAAAGCCAGAGCAAGCAGGAGTGAGACCCTCCCCGATGCTGAGCGGGCCAGGCAGAGAGGCTGCAGGTAAGACCCTGATGGCAGGGAGGAAAACCCAGGTGTCCAGTTCCCCGGAGGCAGAACCTGGACACAAGTGCATGACGCGACTGTGACCTCAACTGCGACGGGACCCCGCGGCGCTGATGTCACAGCGGGCAAGGGAAGGTTCTGGAAGCACGAGCTGGACCAGGGAGGGGGTCCTGGCTGGGCTGGGGGCTGAGTGGCTCTGGGACAAGCCAAGGCAGCTCGGGGGTCCTGGCACAGCCCTGCGGTAGGCACCAGACACCTCTTACTGGTCCCTGGGAGCCCCCGTGCCCTGGATGTGCCCCCATGGGCGAGCGAATGCTGTGCCAGCTGTCCCCATGGGGGCAGCCAGACCCCCGCTCCCAAGCCCATGCTGCACCCTCCTGCCCTGCTGAGATCTAACCAAGGGCTTCTCCAAGGCTGCCCTTGCAGTGCTGCCCACCTGGGAGGGCTGGCGTGGATGGGCCATGAGCCCCTGCCCCGGCACCCTGGGGAGATGGGCTGTCGTTGCTGGATCCGCGTGGACCACGCAGACGATGCAACCCTTGGTGCCCTGCTCCCTAGGCATGGCCACCACGGACCGGAGCGTGACGGCCAGGCTGGGCCGCGTGCAGGGCCAGCTGCGCGCTGCCAGGGCCAGGCTGAGCACCAGCCATGCAAAGACTCAAGCTGAGCTGAAGACAGTGCAGGCTGAGCTGGCGGCCGTGATGGGCCAGGTGAGCGAGGCCACGGCAAAAGCCAGGCTGGTGGGAACCCCGATGAAACCCTGCCACCCCGGTCCCTGCAGCGCTGCTGTCCCGCAGACCCCAGCCCCACACCAGGGCACCCGGGTCTGGGTGGCAGCGTGCTCCGGGGGTGCATCAGTGCATTGAGAGCGATGCCAGGGGCTGCATGGGTGACCCTGAAGCCGAAGTGCCCAAGCCTTGGCAGGGATAGGCGGTTCAAGGAGGGACCTGGTCTCATGCTTCTTTTCTCCCCTAGGTGCAGATGAAGACCCCAAGCCAAGAGACCACAGGGCAGAGCTGGACGGGCTGGGAGGAGGTGAGGGCCAGCTGGGCTCGAGCAAAGGCAGCCTGGGAGCGAGTGATGGCAGAGAACCAGGCCCAGCTGCGGGCAGTATCCCGGGCCCATGCAGCGCTGCAGCAGTCGCTGGCAAGCACCGCGCAGGCCCTGCTGCAGCTGACCCAGCTTCACGCCCGCTCTGCACAGCTCCGGGAGGACAGAGCTGACCCTGAAGCTGCGCGGGCACCGACGGCCCCGCAGCCACCCCCGCCGGGCCCGGTGCTGCAAGCCGTGTACGAGCAGGCACTCGGAGCCGTGCACCGGATCCTGGCCACAGCCATGCAGGAGCTGGGGAGAGGCCAGCCAGCGCCCGTGCTCCCCCAGCTCGCCGCAGAGGTGCACGCCCAGGCAGAGAGCGCCCTGCGCGCCATCCTGGCCGGGGCTGCGCAGGGCCTGGCCAAGCCCCACCGGGATCAGCTGGCCATGGCCCTGTGCTGCCAGGTGGCCATGGCCGTCCGGGATGGCATCGTGGCTGTGGAGCGGGACTGGGTGGCACCCCTGAGAGCCCCTTTGCCTGTGGGGAGCTGGGTGCCAGGGCATGGAGGGACCTGGCTGGGGGAAGGAAGGGGCTGAGGGGAGTCTGGGATAGCAGAGCTGGTGCAGCGCTCGGGCTTGGAGAACTAAATAAATGGAGCCCAGCTTTGCAGCTGCCTGGTACCCTGCTCCGCAGCCGGCTCCCCCCTGCAGCAGGTGCGCAGGCGTGCAGTCCCCACGCAGCAGCTCGTGCTTCCAGCACCCAGCGCTCACAGGATCACCCCTGTGAGCCAGCCAGGAGCTTGGGGGCTCAGATGCCGCAGGGATGGATGCAGCACAAGGACCAGCCTCAGCATCTGCCCTGCCATGGGTGCCAACAGGGCGTGCATGGATGCCCCCCCCTGCTCCCTGCCTCCTCCTTGCACCCGGGTGTGTACGTAGCAGCAGCACAGGCAGCAGATGGGCTGTGCGCGTGATCAGTGCCGCCACGCGATAGACGAGGTGCCCGCCAGCTGGCAGGCAGGAGCCGGGCCTGGAGCATTGGCAGGCTGGCACAGCTGCCCCCGGCTCCCAGATGTGGCAGCCAGATGCTCAGCTGGGCCCCATCCATCTGCAGCAGAGACGTGGTGCTTCCAAAGCCCCCTCAAAGCCTTTGTCTCCGCTGCCCGTTGTTACAACAAGACGTTGGGGGTCTCTCGTGGGGACGTCGCCATTGCTCTCTCCCAGGCTGTGGGGGACCCTGCCTGGGGATGCACACCATACCTTGGCCCAGGGTGGGGACCAGGACCCCTTTCCCAGGGGAGCTGAGGGAGCTCTGCTTGGATGGCACGGCCCCGGTGAGCCGGCCTGGAGCAGGATTGCAGCAAAGGCAGCAGGGGCTCAATAACCTGCGCTAGGAGTGGGGGTCCGGCCGGGGCCCACGTGCCCCTGTGCTTCTGGGGGAAGGGATGCGGGCATAGCAGGAGGGAAAGCGGGTGGGTTAAAGCCACAGAGGAGTCATGCAACCTCCCACCCAGCCCCTTGCTGGAAGCCTGCTTGCCTCCCCACTTAGCTGCATCCTAGCCAGAGATGCCCCTGCAACAGGGCCCGGTGCCCTATGCTTCCCAGAGCAAATGGCAGTGCCCACTGACCTCAATTAGCGCCAGTGACATTGTCGCACCAGGGCAGCTCTGATTGCTTGCTAATTAGCAGGGTAATGAATGGCGCTAGGGTGCATTAGCTACAGTCTCGGCATGGCAGGAGCAGCAGCTGCAGCTCTCCGAGGGCTTTTATATGGGGAGGGAGGGGGTTGTTTGTCCTTGCAAAGACATTGGCAGCCCCTCCATTCCCCCCACCACCACCACCACCCATCGCTGGAGTCCAGCAGCAATGCATTGCCCCAAGGAGGGGCTCGGTGCGTGGCAGCAACATCCTCTCCCGGCTGCAGTGGCGCAGGAGACCCCATGCACCCTGCACCCCACCAGGCAGGCTTGGCGCCCTCCAAGCTGCCCAAACCCATCTACTCCTCCTCCTAGCACAGAAGAGCAATACAGATGGGATCCTCCAGCCTTACTGGCCCTGTGCCTTTAAGTCAGAGCCCAGGTGAGACAGGCGTGGGGTAGGATGGCACTGCCCCTACCCCAGGCTGCTGCCCTGGAGAGGAGCCTGGCAGCAGCAAGGAGCGGTAAGGCTGGGGTGCTCTAGGAAGGGAGGTGTCAGGGGACACAGACAGCCTCTTTTCCTGCTTTCTTGGGGGCATACCTGGCTTCTCTGAAGGGCTGGAGGAGCCCAGGGGTTAAGGGTGCAAGGAGGGGAGTGGATGCGGTGCCTATCGGGTGGCGTGGTCTCTGGGCAAGGTCTCAAGGGTGCATTCGTCCCCTCCAGTCCCCTGCAGCAGAGAGGGGCCGCGTGTGTCCGGGCCCAGGGGGCCACACCTGTGCCCTGGCCTTGCTCTGCCCTCTTCCTTGCAGGGGCAGCAGGCCTCAGGGCCAGGTTGGGGGCACAGGAAGACCTGTGTCCTAGCCCTAGCTCTGCCACTGACTCACGGCATGTCCTTAGGCAACTCACTCTAGCCTGGTTGTGCCTCAGTTTCCCCTTTGGCTTCCTCATTGTTACTGGCAGCTGGGAACAGCTCTGCTCATGTGTCCCTTTGGGGATGTCTGAGCTCCCTGCCCCGGCCCCACGCTCCCGACTCCAGTGGACTCCATTAAAAGGGCTGGAGCCAGGGACACTGGTCTGAACTGGGTTTCTCCCCTCTGCTTTTTTCCCCGGGTGGCTTGAATAATGGAGGTCCCCTGACAGCACAGACCGACGGAGGGGAGACTGCAGAGTCTGCCCATCATTGTGTCAGTAAGTGTTGCTCCCAGGTTCAGATGCCGATGCTGATCTCCACTCTCCCCTTGCTCCTACAGACAGCTGCTGGGAGAGGAATATAGCCCCCAACT